TAGTACCCTACTACCTTGTGTCTAACCACCTTGTATTTATTCCTTTATTTAACATTTATATTTATTCTGCATATACTATATGTACTTGTCTTCCATTAGAATCAATCAACAAGCATTTATTAAGTGCCAATGACAGCCTGCTAGGCAACAGGGATAAAAATACTAAGAATGAAGTAATAGAAAGAAGTAAAATGGAAAAAACAAGTATATAAGCTACTGAAGCGGCAGATAGGTGGTACAGTGGATAGAGCACCAGCCCTGGAGTCAGGTGGACCTGAGTTCAAATCTGGCCTCAGACACTTGACACTTACTAGCTGTGTTACCCTGGGCAAGTCACTTAACCCCATTGCTTAGCCAAAAAAAACAAAAAACATAAGATACTGAAGCTTAAAACTGCACTAAGACTTTTGGGGACACCAAGTGTTAAGTAGAATCAACCAATCAACATTTCTAAGTCTCTCTCTCCCCTTACTTCTCCATGTATACTGAATACAAACTCCTTAGGAGAATTTCCCAATAGACAGTGAGCTTCTTGAGGGCAAACACAGCTTGTCAGCTTTGTATTCCCAGCACCTGGCACAGTGCTTGCTCACATTGTTATTTAATACATACTTGTTGACTGAATTTCTCCATTAAGGTCTCCTTTACCCACTATAAAAACCATTTGTCTTCAAGAGAAAAATAATATGAAAATAGAAGACTTGATTTCTCTGAAGATCAGAGGTGAGACACACCCGCAAAAAAATCATGACCCCCAGTTTTCTAACACCATTCCCTTGGATGATGGCAGCAGTAACAGGTCTATTCTTGTTCAAACCAGAGGGACACACTGAGCCCCCAAAGGTCCTTTCTGTTCAACAACTCCATGGACCAGTAGAAAAACTGCAATTTGAAGTATGGTTTCAACTCAAGAACTCAAGCAGATACCTTCACCAGTATGTGCCTTAGGGAATGGAAGCTGAACTAGAAGACCTCACAATTCTCTAATGACAGTGACTTAGGCAAGACTAGAGGAAAACTCAAGATGAGAAGTCAGATCTCCACAAATCTCAGCATTTGTCATCCCTTTCACAGCACTCCACAAACTGAGCTTTATTATTTTAATACTCTAACTGAGATACATAGATGCTCACCTACTTCAATTTCTCACAAAGGTTTATCGTCTACTCTGTGCCAGCTGCTGGAGGTATGAAGGTAAAGATTCAAGTTGTCAAAGGTGCAGCTAATATATAACAAAAGTGATATTTATATCTGGAGTCTAAGGATTCTGGGAGCCAAAGCAAGGAAGCATTGAGAGCCATTAAAACTGATCTTATTCTAAAGGTGAGAAAATGGAGTCCCTGAGGGGAGAATAACACTAGATAAGTTGTCACTCAATCTTTACACTGATCTTGATAACAATACTGATAAATTTTCTCCATTTCACACAGGAAGAAAGAGGTTAAAAGGCCCAGGGCCAGTTAGTTATAGGTCTGGGTTGGAATTCTAACCTCATCCTCTCCAGCATTCCCATAGGGTATGTTAAAAATGATTTCTCTTGGTAATGTGTCTTGGAGACTGGGAGCTCCCCCCTGCCAGCTAGTGCTTCAAAATTCTTCGGAAGGATATCTCTGATAGTGAGACTACATTGAATCTTCTTATCTAGGTCAAACTCCAAACCAGGCATAAATTGATTTTATCTACTCCAAGACTGGGGGTGGTATTTCCTTGGATGGCAGGCAATATAGGCCCCTGTGGATTTTGAGTGATCTAAGGAACTCACCCACTCCTAATATGTCGACCAATCATGGTTGACTGGCACTCCCTTGGAAACACTTACTCGTCAAAGGGCATATAACGGCTGTACCCCAAAATCCCAAACCAAGCCAGTTCTGAACTGGCCCCCTGAGGGGGGCTCACTTTTGGACTGAACTCCCATATATGTCAAGCCACTTTGAGAAATTAAACTGTAGACATGTGTACCCCAATTTCACTTGTTTCATAGAGCAAACTGTTTCAGATTTGGTTTATGGGGTTTGGGGTTCACAGATGTGACTGGCCGGCCCCACATCACAAAACCATAAAGCAAGAGAGGCCCTTAGTTTCCAAATGCATGGAATTTGGCACTCACATCTTCAGGACAGAAGACAGGGGTGAGCCTCAGCTTATAACAGTTACTGCCTTGTGTGAGTACAGATGAATTGGGGGAGTGGAGGAAGGGAAAAGCATTTAGTAGGCACCTACTATGTGCCAAACACTATGCTAAGCACTTTACAAATATTGTCTCATTTAATTCTCACAACAACTCTGTGAGATATTCCCATTTTACTTTTAAGGAAACTGAGTAACAGAGGGTAAGTGACTTGTTCAGGTTCATACAGCTAAATAGAGTCTGAGGCAGGATTTGAATTCAAATCTTCTTGACTCCAGTTCGAGCACTCTATAGCCAGGTGGTGCAGTGGATAGTGTTGAGGTCTAAGGGTGCTGGGAACCCCAAAATTCAAGAGCAAATGACATGGGTCTTGCCTCAAATGAATTCAACCCAAGCCTTCTTTTAGCCAGACACAAGGTTTATTAAAACACCGACTACTGGGGTGAGCAAGATTCCTAGTGAGTCTGCGCTATTGGCCAGATTTTAAGAATCTGAGCAGAAACAAGGTTTATTATATTGCCAATAGAAGTGGGCCAGACTCTTTAAGGAATCTGAGTCCTTTGGTAGAGGAGACTGAGCTTTTTATAGTGTGGCCAATAGCATGGGGTGACTGGGAGGTAACAGAAGAGGAGGGGACCAGGGCCACAAAGAAAAGAGATCTAGATGGAATTACTGGTGAGAAGCTGGGAGGTCTGAAGGTAACAGACAATAAAGGGCAGGGCTAGGTTAGAGGTAACAGAGAATTGAAGACTGGGGCAGGGTCAAAAATCACAATGTAAGGGACTGGGAAAGGCCAGGTGCCCCAGGCAAACTCCAGGAACCTGGCCCACCTTGGGAAAGTCCAGGGCCTTTTAGGGTTCCATCATTAGCATCTCATCAGATAGCAGGGTCTAAAGTGCTACCTCAGATACATCCTAGCTGTGTGGCCCTCCGCAAGTCAATTGGCTTGTTTACCTGAGTTTCCTCAACATGAGAACAACAATAGCACCTAATTCCCAAGGTTGTTGTGAAGATCAAATGATATAATAATTGTACAGCACTTTGCACAGTGTCAAGCACAGTGCTATAGAAATGTCAGCTATCATCATCATCCTTGTCATCATCACCATTATTATCATTTACTAGCTGTGTGACCTTGGGTAAGTCATTTAACCTCTACTTGCCTCAGTTTCCTCACCTGTAAAATGAGGACAATAATAGCACCTACTTCCACAGGTTCAAATGAGATAATTGTAAAGTGCTTAGCACAGTGTCTGGCACAGAGAAGGTACTATATAAATGTTTGCTGTTGTTCAGTCATTTTCAGTCTCATCCAACTCTTCATGACCCCATTTGGGGTTTTCTTGGCAAAGATACTACAGTGGTTTGCCATCTCGTTCATTTTACAGATGAGGAAACTGAGGTAAACAGAGGTTAAATGACTTGCCAAGGGTCATACAACTAATAGGTGTCCAAGGTAGCATTTGAACTTAGGTCTTCCTGACTCCAGGCATGAGGTTCTATCCACTGCACCACCTACCTGTGCCTAGCCTCATATCCTCAACAGGTAAGGAAACCAAAGTTGAGATGCATCACCTCATTCAATCCTCCTGATAACCCTGTGAGATAGGTGCTGTTTGTCCTCCATTCTCTAAGAGGACCATGACATCAGGGATGTGATGTCATGACATGCAAGTGAATTGGATTTAAGTGAGTGCAAAGTCACCAGTCTTTCCTCCAGAGCCATGTGGGTCCAGTGGCCAGATATGGATCTGTACAACTGGACAAGGTCCACTATGCAGTGATTTTTTTTTTTTTTACTTTTGTTTTGCTTTTTCTCTTAAACACCAAGTCTTAATCCCAAATCACTCTGGTCCCAGACCAAGCCCTACTTGGTCACAGTTTGGACCCTGATTGGCTCAGAAAGAATGTAAATAACAATTGTTTCTGTTTTGGCCATAAACCCTCCCAGATCTTTTTTTTTTTTTTAAAGAAACCATTCTTTACCTCATTTTTTTTTACTAAGATTTAAACACTGAAAGAGCCCTACCTCAGTCAAACCGAGACCAGTTAAAAGACCTTGGCTAGAAAAGGCCCATTAGCCTATGAACTACCTTCAAATAGGGGTTGGGAGGAAAAGCTCCTACTATAGCCAAACACTATGCTATGCGCTAAGGATACAAAGAGAGGCAAAAGACAGGTCCCAGCCCTCAAGAATCTTACAATCTAATGAGGAAGACAACATGCAAATATATACGAAGCAAGCTACATACAGGTATCCCAGCATGTAACGCAGGTCCTGGCAGTCAGTCAACTAACATTTATTAAGCACCTACAAAGTGCCAGGTGGAGGCTGAGGGCTGGCACAGGGGAAGCACTCAATAAATACCTGATGACTTCCTATTATTACACCCATTTAACAGATGAGAAAGCTGAGGCTCAGAAAGTAACAAACATGCAGCAACACACCCGTATAGACCACACTGAAGCAAGGCGCAAAGGAACCTGGGTTCTAGTCCCACTAATTAGCTTTCTGCTTCCGGACACTTCCCTCTGGGCCTCAGTTTCCCCTTCTGCAAAGTTGGGCTTAATGACCTTTTGAGGTGAGGGAGCTAAGTGAAATGTCGAAGGTCAAGGCAACAAGCATCCATTAAGCGCCTACAGTATGTCGGGCCCGGGGCTAACTAGAAGGTGTGGCGGGACCCCAATCTCAATCACTCTCGGAGCCGCTCCAGGGTGTTCCGGGACGCCGCGAGGGTCCGAACTCGGACTTCTGAGTGGACGCCCCGCCTCCCTGCACTTGCTCCGAAAGTTCCCTTTCCCCGCCGCCCCGCCGGGGGCAGAGCGCCCCATCCCACATCCTCCCTCACCCCACCCTGCGCGTGCTCACCATGATGACGTCGATGTCGCCGCCAGGGCTCGCCGTCCCCACTCGACCTCACAGTCCACGCGTGCGACGCCCCCTGCCCGCCCCAAACTTCTCGGGAACCCACGTGCGCCGGGGGAAACTACCGGGAGACACCGGAAGCGAAGCCGGGTGCGCCTTCCTAAAACGTCCCTCGGCGACTGACGTGTTCTGGCTTCCTCATGAGAGAACCAGGCCGAAAAGAGGAGCCGGAAGCGCGGAGCAGGCTCGCCTCCGGTTCGGAGATGGCTCGCCTCCGGTTCGGAGATGGCTCGCCTCCGGTTCGGAGATGGCCCTAAAAGGCGAGGCAGCCGAGAAAAGAATCACCGCCCACACCTGTGGTGTGAAAACGGTGAATGCTGTGGGACAGGTCCCTTCCGGTTTTATTTCCCCCCACGTCCGCAGACTGTTGACTCTATAGTTCCGGGAACGTATGAAGCCTGCTGAAGTGGATGTTAAAGAAAGAAAAGACAGAAAGAAGGAAAAAAAGAGAAAGGGAAAAGGAAGTAAGGAAAGAAAGAAAAGAAAAGAACGTGATTCCAGACTGCAAAGTTGCTGCTTGGGTAGTACTCATGGTTCACAGCAGCTCAGCCCTGTCTCATGCAAAGGACTTCAACCCAAAATAATTTCTTCAGTCTTTATTAAATAAAATTTTACTGTTATGTTTCCCCCTTTGTATTCTTTTCTCTTTCCTCCCAGTACCTTCTAACTTAGAATTTAAAGACTCGAAATTCCACCCCTTGCTAGCTGTGTAATCACGTTTCCTTTCTGAGCCTCAGTTTCCCCATTTGTAAAATGGAGTTGGACAAGAGCAGGACTTCTTATTCTTTTGTGTGTGTGGCATAGACCCATCCATTTGGTAGTCTGGTAAGGCCTATGGCTCCCTTCTCATAATAGTGTTTTAAAATGCGCACAATACATGCATAGGATCACAAAGGAAACAATTATATTGAAATAATAGTTATCAAAATATGAAAAGGAACAAGCTCAACGTCAAGAGCCCCTGGATTAAGTGATCCCCAGAGACCCTTCCAGCACTTACTTAACATTCTATGAACCAATGAAACTCTGCTACTTTACTTGGGAATCCCAGATAGTTCCTAGCAGAAAGTAGATGTCTTGAATACTCCAATTCTAAATTTATGCTTCTGTGAATTGAATGTGTTTCTGGGGTCACAGTTGATTTCTGACATTGTATAATGTTAGAGCTGGATGGGATCCAAGAAGTCATCAAGTCAGTCAGTCAATACACATTGATTAGGGATCTACTTTGTGTCGGGCATTGTGCTAAGTGCTGAGTATACAAAAAGAGGCAAAGCTCACAAACTAATAACATAGATACAAATCTGTACAATTGAGCTGTATACAGGAAAAATAGGAAATAATTAAAAGAGAAAAGAGACTAGAATGAAGAGGAATTGGGAAAGACTTCCTGTAGAAGATGGGATTTTAGTTGAGACTTGAAGAAAGCCAGGAAGTAGAGATGAGGAAGGAGAGCATTCCAGATGGGGTATCTTATTGGAGGAACAGCAAAGATACTTAAGTCACTGGATTGAAAAGTAAATGGAAGGAATTGGGTATAATAAGACTGGAAGGAAGGGAAGGGGATTATAATGGGTTGTAAATGGGCTTTGAACACCAAACAGAGGATTTTGTATTTGATCCTTGAGGTAACAGAAAGCCAACCACACAGGAAAAAAAAAATGAAGCCCAGAAGGTCTTATCTAAGAATAAATGGGTAATTACAAGTGGAATTAGAACCCAATTTCCCTTGCTGTGTATTACACAAGTGTTTGTTGATATGCATACATTTATATGTTACACATGTCCCAGAAAGCACCTACTTACAAAAAGGTCTCTTGGGCTCAAATAGACTTAGATTCATTCTTTAGGCTGAATCTGACCCCAAAGAGAAGGTGTAAGGCTTTTCCTTGAATTCTCTGGTTCATTGCCCCTACCTGGAAATTCTGGGAAAATCTCTGTCTTTGAATTTAGGGCTCATGTCATTAAAAGGTCATTAAAAGGGATTAACTAGGTTCCTTCTAGGTACCAAATCAGGCACAGGACAGCTGTTTATTTTTTCCTTCTCAAAAGAAATGCTTAAAACACCAAAGACTTAAGTGTAGTTCGATAAATAAAACATAAAGCAGGAACTTATTACTCCTATTAGACTCTCCCAGGAAGTAAAAACAATTCCGTGGTTCTGTTCAACAGATTCTTCTTATTGACCTGTCCTGTTCAGATAACTCCCAACCCTTCAATCTTTCAATCAGCCATGTATGACTCATGAGTATTCTTAGCTGCAGATTCTTCTGGCAATGGTGCTCTTCTCTTCTCTCAAACCTCTCAAAATCACAAGGCTACTCTTAAGGATAGAAACATCTGTTTCTCAGGAAATCCCAGGTTTGCCTAGGCAGGTATGCATTCTTGCTGCCATGTAAATGCAATGACCCTTGCTGCTGGAGTATAAAGAGGAATGAAATACCCTTCCCTTCCTCACTGTAAGGCCGAGTGAGAGTGTCCTACTAACGACAGAGCTTTGAAAAACTGAAAACTATCTCTCTGTAAATGAGCTTTGGCTCACTATCCCATAACTAGGACATATATATTGTTCTCCCAGAGTTCTGAGAATACCCTAGCAGGTTTGGAGGTGCCTGTTCTCTATTGCTTTGTGCTTGGGACCTTGCCAGTTATTTCCTCCACTGTTAGGTGTCAATAACAGCCCAGTTCCCTTTAAATAATTAACATCAATTAACTTTTTAAAAGAGATGTTTATTTTGAAGATATAGCAAAAACAAAAATACAGATATGCTCTCCCAACACTTCGGAGGCACATTGTCCTCAATACCACTGCAGTCTCTGGGGAAAGTGGGCTCACTCTTAGAAGAAGGGAGAGAAGCAACAAGCATTTATTCAACTTTTATTTTGTGCCAGTGGGTAGCTAGACAGTGCAGTGATTAAAGTGCCAAGCCTGGAGTCAGGAAGACTCATCTTCCTGAGTTCATATCTGACCTCAGACTAGCTGTGTGACCCTGGGTAAGTAACTCATCCCCATTTGCCTTAGTTTCCCCATCTGTAAAATGAACTGGAGAAGGAAATGGCAAACCACTCCAGTATCTTTGCCAAGAAAACCACATATGGGATCACAAAGAATTGAACACAACTAAAAAAACTACTGAACAACAACACTATGGGCCAGGCACTGTGCTAAACACTTGACAAATATTATCTCATTTGATCCTCACAATGACCCTATTATCATCTCCATTTTACAGCTGAGGAAACTGAGACAAAATGTAAGTCACATGATCAGGTTAACACAGCTATTGTCCTAAGCTGGATTTGAACCTAGGTTTTACTGACTCCAGGCCCAGGAGCCCTTTCTTCTTAGGGCATTGATACTGGACTGCCTGAAAACTTAACTCTGGGACCTTAATAGGCCAAAACAGGACACTGTAATGAAACATGCCCAGAAACTCACTTTGCTGAACTTTCAAAACTAACAAGGTAGTATTCTCCAATCCCTTTACCTAAAATAGGAAAAGGGCAAATTCAGAAGCAAAGGACTGCAGCTCATTTCATAGACCTTATGTTGACTTTGATAGGGAGAATACCCAAGGCCTCTCCCCTTGCCACATTGTCTTCCTTTTGTTGTTGTTGTTGTTGTTTATGGCAGGCATTTGGGGTTAAGTGACTTGCCCAGGGTCACACAGCTAGTAAGTGTCTGAGGCTAGATTTGAATTTAGCTTTGGATACTCCTCATCACCTTCAGTGTCCTCTACCTTCTGATTTGAGGACTGGAAGGTGGAACACTACCCTCTTCCCAGAGCCTTCCTTTATAGACAGTTGGGATCTGAACTTTGGGGCTAACTCTCCACTTTCCATTAACAGAAAATCTTAATATGTGAACATAATGTAGAGGTTTTAGTGGACCACAATCTCAAAATTTGTTGTGACCAGTATGACTTTACAGCCAAAAAAGTAATGGAATCTAAGAGAAGCTTGGTATGCAGAAGGAGGGCAGTGATGGTCCCACTGTTTTCTATGCATAGTTCTGATTACTGTCTTTTAGGAATGATATCAAGCTAGAAAGCACCATAAGTAGGTAAATAAGAGTGTACAGGGACTGGAGATGATGCCAAAGGAAGATCAACAGGAGGAAATGAATGCATTTAACTTGTAAAAGAGAACACTGGAGGGGATGGGGAGGGGAGATATGATAGTTTTCAAATATTTTAAGGGCTTACATATGGAAAAGGAGTTAGACCCTTTCTTCTTTATTTAAGTTACATAATAACTTTTTTGTTTGTTTTTCTTTTTAATTTATGGAAGAAAACAAGCATTTCCTTAACATAGTATAATCAAAAAAGATGATTTCACATGAAACTGCACATCTATTATATATAACTTGCTATTCTTTTTAAATATATTATAAAGTTATTATGTACATTTCTCTTTTTTCCTTTTAAATAGACTCTTTCTTTTTGATCCAGAAAGCAGAGTAGAGGCTTCAAGAGAAGTCAGTTTAGGTGTAATATAAAGAAAAACTTGTGAACCATTGGAAATGGCAGAGCAGTGAGTTCCTTCTCAAAAGAGTTCTGCAAGCCAAGACTAGATGATGACCTGCTGGCTGGGTAGGAGAGGTTCTTGGTCATATAGAGATTGCACCTGAGGACTTTCCCAACTCTGATTTGGTGGTATTTATATGGTTGGCTTTGTTTCATGGGTTAACATGGCTACCTAGTGATCAGAGGTCATGGCCTGGTCTTTGGAATGCTGACATGGTCTTTTGCTGAAACTGTACTTACAAATCTTCCAACATATTTAGACCCTAACACTGCACTTCTTCTCTTAGTATAGCTTTCTAGACCCCAGAGTTATTTCCCTATCATAATGGTGATAATGCTTTTAATGACCCCAAGCTTCTCCCTAAAGCAAAAAAAAAAAAAAAAACCAAAAATACCCCATACATTTAAATTACCAATATTATTACAATATATGACTACTAAATCCCTGGAAAATCAAAGTTGTGAATCATCCAAGAGATAATAGAAAGCTGTATGGTGGACATGAA